CACCAACACAATACATACAAATTGCACACACTTTTGCTGCAATAGCTACCTCTCCAACTCAGTATGTCCCAAATGTGCCACTCCCTACACACTGCCACATCAAATGCTTCTCAGCCTTTTACGCTTCCCAGAGTTCCTTCTCTCACTGAACATGTATCTTCTAAATTACCTTTTCCAGTTAATTGCCTCAACTCTCCAATTTACGCCTCTCAGCATTTGGCAAGAGTCCTACTTCCCTGTCAGTATTCCACTCCCTCCTTCATCCTACTTGTAAATTATTTCCTTGTCCTTCATAACCATCTAATTTTATTAATCTATTTTGTTTTCTATTTCTGAACTCCTACCCTTTTCTCTAAAAGATTCCTCAGGCTCAATTTATTATTATACTGTACTTCAGCTTCTTGCAGACTTCACTGCACCCAACATGGTTTCATTGATGCACACCTTCATGCAGTGCCTTTGGAAACAACACGTTTTTACTTCTGCAGGTTTGTACTGAAGGGAGGAAGCAGAGACTTTTGCTTTAATCTAAAATTAACCTTTAATAATGAGTTTTTAGGGTCTTCTTCAGTCTGTTAACACAGTCTGTGTACAAACTGAAACCAGTCCAGAATCACATAATCATCATCCAGTATAGTCAAAGGGGGTGCTTTTTCAATATTTATTTCTTCCTGGCATGAACTGATGAGAACTAGAAAAAAAGCACTGCAGATGTCTAGTACTAAGGTACACTGCCAGACAACTGCAGGCAAGGCTACGATTTTTCAGTGTCTTCCAACCTCATTACCCATGGCAGTAAGCATGAAAAAAACCCAGCCACAAGTCAGGGGAATGAAAACTTCAGCAAAAGGTGAGCAAGGAATGATACAAGAGAAACACTGAGCTCCATCAAAGATCCTATAACATGTAGATAGACAAGAGAAGTTTAATTTTGACAAAAATTTAAAAAGGAAGAAAAAACGAAAGGCACATCTCTTTTGGGGCCTGAGCTCTGCCTCTCCTTATGGAGGGCTCTGACAGCTGGGGACTGTTTGCCCACGAAGGCACACATAACTCATGTTCCTTAAGCCCTTCAAAAATGTTCATCTGATCTTTTTAAATGCTGCCACTTTTGCCTTTGCTGGAAGCAGAAATCTTGCAATCCCTGCAATATTCTAATCTTGCCCAGAAATTCTACTTTTAAAGTAGACAAAGGTAATAAATTATCTGTATCTATTCACAGCTCTGCCCTACACAACGGTTTTACTTATTTTACTTCAAGAAACAGCAAGAATTGGATGGAAGATACAGAAGCAGGGCAACATAAACAGCCCCAGCCCATATTTCCTGTTTTTCTCTACTGAAATGCATGAAGCAGCTTTAGTCCTTAATGTGGTGCATCCTTCTCATTAATAAAAGATGAAAATGCATCTCTGCATTATTTAATACACTCTATATATCCAACTCCTGCACATGCTTCAAAAGGTTCTTCTGTTCCTGCCCTCTGGAGCAGCATTCAGATAACTCACTCAAAAACATCTCAAGCAGCAAAGGCTGCAGTGCCACGGCAACTTTATGGGATGTACTAATTGTTGTCCTACTCATCCTTAAAAACCTCCAGTGACGGATGATGCAGCATGCCTGGGCAGACTCCTCCCCTCCTCACACATCTGCATAACAAGTTTTTCCTAATTTTGCTTTTAAAATTCCCTGCAAACAGAGAGAGTTGCTTCTCTGTGGATGTGAAGAACATCTGAGCACTGCCCTTGTAGTGTACTAACACCTGCCCTCTAATTCATTGCACAAAAGACAAATGTTTTGTGCTGGTTTCTCTTCAGGGCTGTCATATTTTCATAAGTGTCCCGAGAAAGGCAACAAAGCTGGCGAAGGGCCTAGAGAACAAGTCTTATAAGGAGTGATTGAGGGAACTGAGGTTGTTTAGCCTGGAGAAAAGGAGGCTCAGGAGAGAACGTATCACCCTCTATAACCACCTGAAAGGAGGGTGGTGTGAGGTGGGGGTTGGTCTGTTCTTCCAAATAACAAGTGATAGGACAAGAGGACATGGCCTCAAGTTGCTCCAGGAGAGATTTAGGTTGCATGTTAGAAAAGATTTCTTCACCAAAAGGGTTATCAAGCCTTGGAACAGGCTGCCCAGGGAAGTGGTGGAGTCACCATGTCCAGAGGTATTTAAGAGATATCTAGATGAGGTGTTCAGGGACATGATTTAGTAGTGAACTTGGCAATGGTGGGTTAACTGCTGGATCTGATGAACTTAAAGGTCTTTTCCAACCAAAACAATTCTGTGATTCTATGATAACTGTGCAAGATGAAGCTGGACCTTCAGCCACTTCTTTTCCCAAAGCAAGATAAAGCATAGGTGCTGTCCTGCCTGTGGAATGACACTGGCCTGGGGTCTCCTGGAGCTCAGAATTGTGCTCATTTGTTTTCCTTTCACCAGACACTAATGTTGTCTTCGATTTTTGCTACTTGGTTTTTGTTTTTGTTGTTAAAGATGATTTTTTATTTCCTACTCTCTTGGAAAGATTTGCCATTCATACCAATCCTGATTTTTTTCCTGTCTGAAGGTACAGAATTAGCTTAGCTGCCTCATTTAGATGTCTATCCTTCACTTAAAGCCCCTGTACAAATCACATGAAAAGTACATACTGAAAATTTCCTCAGTCTGCAGGATTTGCAGATAACTGAGTGCAGTAGCACAACTCATGGACTTTCAATCAAAATTAACGTAAATACCACAAAGCACACAGACCTTCCTTGTGCAAAAGTACACTGCTAATAAAGGTTTAGAAACAGAGTTCAGGTTAGTGGGGATACACACTCATATTTCCATGAAACACGCTAATAAATGAGTAACTCCAAAATTACCTTACTTTAAAATTATCTAACTGAATCCTGTTTGCTACTGTTACTTTTAAAAAAACACCTCTTAATTTGTCTCTTCTCTCCACATTATGACCAGTTATTTACAACCCAGGCTCTGCTTCAGTTAATTGTTTTGTCTAGAAATACTAATCAGAGATCAGCAATTTCCACCAATGCCATTATAGCAACAAATCTTAAAGAGCCCAGAAACATGTTGTTTCTTATTTTTCAGAGGCACAAAGTTTTCAGAGTGACCTCCTCACACTGAGTTCATATTGACTCAGATATCCTTCATTCCTCTATCTCATCATTTCTAAATCACAAAAATGACATGAAAGAAACCATGAGTATGACTTCTATCACCAGAATAAATTCTGACTTAATGTACTCTTTGCAATACTTGGCCACAATAGGATACATGATTAGAGCATAGTAGTATACCCATCGTGCCTTGTTAACTGAGGATACATGGTATACTCCCACTTAAAATTTGAACTTTTTAGCTTTTATGGATTTAATTTAGACCCTTGGGGCTACATAGGCATTGGAGATGGGACACATAACATTCGTTATCGTTAGAAGTGGCTGCACACATAGTCATTGATGTTTAACAGAAAATTAGCTAATTTCATTTCTGACTTAAAAAAAGAAATTTGTTTCAAATAAACCCCTAGCCCATAGTGTAACTAAAATGTCCTAAAAATAACAGATACTCGATTCTTGCTTTAAAGGCATGAATCTGAAAGAAGCAGAGATTTCTAGCAGCAGTTAAATTCATGCTTAAGCACATGGGAATTTCACTGAAACCAGTATGGCTGCTTATACTGACCAGGATATAAATGCTTTTCTGAACTGGGGTCAGAACCTGGCATAAGCAACCAATAATACCTAATTTTGAGCGCAGATATGCATACAGATTTTAGGTGGGTTTGGTAAGAGAGACTGTTATTAAATTTGTTTGACAGATTCCTATTTAAAATGCAGATTCTACACATCAGATGCCTGCCTGAAGCTGAATATTTCAGGGGGAAAAAAATCAAACAAAATGTTTAGATCACTTCTGAGAAAATACATAATTTGATCTGACATAACCTAATTTCTGAGTTTTTTAATTTGCAAAAGTAAATTGTACCCCCTTGTACTACTTAGCAGGTCCATAAACAAAATACAGAGGGAGATACCTCAGTCTCCTGTTTGTGCTATTGGTATATCATACATGTGTTCATGCCATAGGTTGAAAGTGTGCACTGTTTTTAAATGTAAGTATATTTTCAGTTATTAAATTATAGGAGTAAAAACACTTGTATAGATTTATATATATGTTTGATCTCCAGAATTTTTTATCTATATGTTCTGGGTTTTTTTTTTTTACTGCTCCTTGTTACGAAAGAACCAAAACCTCCTCCTTCATATCACATCCATTCATTAAGCCTGACGCAAATAATACAAACAAACCTATGAAATATGTTTTTTAATTAAAAGCCCATTTTGTGATCTGGCAAAAATAAATGGCTATCAGACTGTTAAGTCTAACAATACCGAATTGGCACTTTGCATGTTGCACAGATTTCACTCTTACCTGCATGCTTAAGTGCTGCATTGGACAGAAACAAAATGAGAGTCAGCCTTCCAAAACAAACTCACGGGGGACCTGGAGGAAAGCTTGGTATTTCAGGGGGCTTGCTCTAGTAAGATGCTACACTGGAATAACGAGGAACTGCCCCATTTGCATTCAACAGAAAGAGACAGTAATTCTGTGGCAATTATTTCACACAAGTCAACGTCCTGTTATCTTAAAAAAGCTCCTGTGTAGTCCAGCAAACGATGAGAACTGCGAGCTGTATGCAGGTCAGCCTCATGCAAGGGGCTGCCAAATCTGGCTGACTACCAGTGAAAGAACTCTTTTTTTTCTGCCAGATCTGCTCAGAATGGGTTTGTTAGAGGCAGGGTTTGTTCCAATCAACTCGGGCTGCAGTGCAAACTTAAGTACGACGCCCTGAAATGCAAGTGGGGATTTTTTCGTCATGGCTATGGTGATTTTGACTCAAGCCAGAGAAGGAGCCGCTGTCAGGCTGATGGTAACTGCACACACTCACTTAACACACAGGCAACCACTGGGGCTATAGTAAATGCTTCACCTTGCCGTGCATGAGAAGACGTATGGTAAGTGTGACATTGAGACCTCCTTCAGCCGCTTTCGAGTCCTTCGTGTTCATCCTGGCCTTGTATCTTCAATACTTGAAAGCAGCTTTGTCGTTTTCCTTTTCCTTTTTTTTTTTTTTTTCCTAGTCACTTAACCTATAAAAGGGAGAGAGAGAGAGAGAGAGAGAAAACACCACTGAGTGGCTGAAGCTACTCTGAACTGAGAATATCATGTTGTACAAACCAATTAACATTCCTCCCTTTGATTTTCTGGACTAAAATTTAGTGCTGAAAAAGCTCTTTTGATTATCATCCCTCCTCAACCAACTCTTAAGCTCTTCACCAATTACAAGGTAAACTCCTTTTTGAAACTGTAAAAATTCTCTTTATTTCCTGTATTTTGAAGCTGAAAAGTACAGAACACAACAGAGTGTTCACTGTGTTTTCTTCTGAACAGCACTTTCTCTCTGTTAATGTTTGCAGCGTGTTTATGCAATATATGTACACATATATATACACTTTTACATGTGCCTGGTCTGGTTTCATTTCTCTCCCTGTTACTACCTCTTTCTCCTTTTGCTCTGGCAGAAGAGATATTTTTGTTTTCTCTCCAGCTAGAGGGAAATGAATTCCGAGCCTAAACGCCAATTCCTGCCAGCAACACTGGATGACACATTATCAAAGACATCTGAGTAACTAAGAGCCACTTGCTGCTGTAAATCTGGGCACTGTCTGATTTCGTTTTTGTCTTCCAGGCCCAGAGGTGGCTCAGTCTCTCAAAGGCCAAAGCTGATCTTCAGGCCCAAGTAGAAGGAGATTCTTCTTCATTATTAATGTCAAATTGCAGATTTTCAGTCATTTACAAAGCCATAAATATCCTAAAATACTAATGAAAGCTGCAAGGGCTGGCTTTGAAGGGATAAACAAGATGCACTATGCGTTTATTAAAGCAAGGAAATTTATCAGTACAAATAAAAAAGGGGTGGGAAGGAATATTGCCAAGGGCAGGCAAATTCCACACTAGTAAAGGCTCAGAGACTCCTTATTTGGTTTTGTCCTCTTCAGGCCTGTCTTATAGAGCATAAAACACTTAGACATCAAGCATCTCAGTAACCGTCCCTTATTAATGACAACCCTATTAGCTTTGCATCTTGGTGCTTCCCCAAACTTTGGCTAGCTTAGGCACTGGCTAATGAGCATCCCTAGGGACAATCATTTTGTGGCTCGGTACAGCAGTGTCTCACTGAAGGGGCAGGCTATTGTCCCCTTGCAGAGACTGTTCAGGCATGGGACCAAACTACTGGAAGGACCTGTGAGACCATTCCCCTAAAAACACTGGCGGTAGTAGCAAACAGTTGTTTCATCAACTGATTAAGCATCCTAAGCGCCACTCAGCACTGACATGCTAGATCAAAGTAAAGCCCATCTTAAAGTCAGCTGCAATGGTTAAAGAAATAGCACAAGAAACATGCATGGAGCCATTCCCAACAGACTTGCTGAGCGATTCAGGGTCTTCTGGAAGATTGTATCCAGACCACTATTTTCAACAGTCATTGGTGGCCCATCCCTCCATGAGCTTTTCTATTCCTTTCTTGAATCCAACATCTGTGTCCAAATGTTCTGGTCCCACAGATTATGCAGTTTTCTCTCAAGTCTCTGCATGAGTACTTAGGACCACAGAGAGCTTCTGTGCCTTAAGTGACTGCAAGAATAAGAGGCAGACATTCTTGAGGAGATGTGAAAAGAAACAGGGAGAAAGAGTATGTAAACTCCTCCTTCCTAAAAGTAAACTCATTAGGCACTACCACAGAGCAGCTCCTGCCTACCTGCTCCATTGCCAGGGCTGATTTTCCCTAAGCCAGCATGGACTCAGTGTATTTCATACCATGCACTCTACCACCCAGACCACAGCCACAAATCCCATTTACTCCACATTTCCAGGCTTAGCACTTAGATTCCGTACCACCTATCCAGATGGAGAAAAGCCGAAGAGAAGCAAAGTGCCTGGGTGAGAAGGCAGAAAACAGAATCAGCCTGGCCATGCCCCTGATGCACCGTGCATGCAAGAGGGTGAGAGGAAAACGTCCCGAACGACACAGAAAGGTATCAGGGAGTGTTCTGCTTCCTTAAGGTTAGATGGGGACTCACAGTAAAATAGGCAAGTGAGTGACCATGACTGTCCCTTCTGACAAGCACAGAGGGAGGAGTGGAGGAGGTAGATGTGGCTGTTCCCAGACTAAGGAAGGGAATCACATGGTGCTCACCGGCTCCTTGCTGGTGCTGAGGAAAATGCTCTCAGTCTGACAACCTGAGCATATTCTGCAGAGCTCTGTCAAAAAAACCCCAAAAAACCCAAAAAAACCCCGAAACCAAACCAAACCACCAAATAGGAGCACTCTGTTATATATAAAGTAGAATAAACCTCAGCATTCCAGACTTAACAGGAACAATGCTGGCCATCTGAGATGGCTAGAAACCCATGGTAGCTTAAGTCATGCTTGGAAGTGTTTACATAATGGATGTGTTTAAAGGAGAAGCAAGGTATGTAAAAACCTTTTGTGGACCAAAATGAAATAAGGAAGGTACAGCTGTTTCTAACTAAATGTATTCCCATGTGGGAAAAATAATCCCAGACTAGATACAGGTTTACAGTTGCCATGGCCTTTTACTGCTGTGATGCTACAGCAGTATGCTCACCTTGGGAGAAATTTTGGAGGAAAGTCTTTTCCCAGACAACAAACCAACCCCCACCCAAGCCTGTCCTTTTCCAGATAAAACCTGAAAAAAAAAAAAAATCTGTATGTTTAGCTAACATCTCTTGGGTTCTTTTTAAAACTAGAAGTTAAAAATTAAATTCCATCACAAATACTGTTAAAAATATCACTGACATCTAATTTTTTTTGAAGGGTTTTGCCTTTTCTTCCCTTCGCAACAATCTCAAACTCTGGCACCTGGTACTCAGAAGCAGAACTAATGCTTCAGGAAGGGCTGAAAGCATGTGTGCCTGCAAGAAGTTAAGCAGCTCTGTGACATAAAGGGAACGAAATCAAAAAGGCAACCTCACATGATAAGGAGGAACACGTGAAGCCTATACATCTGTCATGAAGACAGCAGAGTTTTCACAATGCCAAGTCATTTACAACTGCCCCAATTGTTCTGAGAGTCCAAATATTCTGGTAAAACATTTACAGCTTTACAAAGTAAACCAATAAGAATTGTTAATTACCTGAGTATTTCAGTTTTAGAGACAGATTAAAATAAAATGCATTGTTGTGCTTTATTATTTTTAACTAATTAAAGCAATTTTTTTTTTTTTTTCAGGCATCATGGTAAACATGTGCTGGTCTAAATCTCTGTGTGGATGGAGATGTCAGATGTGGCTCAAGGAAAAGAATGGTTTCCTCTACAAAGCCTCCTACCAGCCAGCAATACATTCATGTACTTATAAACCTATTTCTGTGATATACAAGCAGATCATGAATATTTAATCAGTAAAATAACTTCCTTCTCCTTTGCAAGATTAGCATTTTGAACAATTTACTATGTTCCCGGCTTATGTGTGTCTCTCTGCATGAGCAAAGAGAAGCCTACACACCTATGGCCTTACTTTCTGAAGCTCTGCGCAATGAGGTGCCATGGCTACTCTGCAGCCTGGGAGAGCTGAGTCTCAGATTATGAAAAAAAAAAAAAAAAAAAAATCAATTTGTCACACCTTTCCTGATGGCAGACAAAAGTCAGGGAATTCCACAGGGGAGGAGAGAGTATCGTGCAGGCAGGCATGGCTAATGGCACAGCTGCATGTTAAGAGTGAGGGTTTATGCATTTTACCTTGCCTTCAGCAGAGAGCTGGCACTGACAGGAGGACAGTTGAATAACATACTCCGTCTGACCTTGGGACTCTGGACCAGAAGGCACAAAATCCAAGATCCAGGGCTCTACAGCTCCAGGTTACAAGCAAAAAAACCCAATCATGCCCAAGGAACAAGGGACCTGACCTAGGTGATCCTGATCTAGCAGGGGTGTTGGATTAGATGATCTTTCGAGGTCCCTTCCAACCCCTAACATTCTGTGAAAGTAGATCACATCAGACAGTTACCAGCAAACAGCAGATCTTGGCCTCCTGTGTGGGTGAGCATGAACTTTTGAGGACATTTCTGCTGCTGTTTACCATGTAAAAAGTGAAAACTTCTCTTTAGGTAGAAAAAGGTATCCAAATGCATTAAACCAAAAAAGCTTTTTGAAACTCAAATGGACAGGTACTCTCATGCAAATGCCTTTTTTCTTTAAGTATGTGCTTCTATATATTTGCAATACTAACTATCCCAAGCTGGCATAAAATGTATGCCTTACATGCTCTCCATTCATTATTTCAGGACTATCAATTTTTACCATGGCTTTTCAGTAATTGTCAGTAGATTAAGTTACTAAAACAACAGTTAAGAAACATGTTCACTGGATAAGCACAAAGAACAACACAGTTCCTCAAGTATTTTACTGAATTAATAAAAGCTACAAGAACTCTAGAGCTGAAGGGTAGTGCCACAACCCACACGCACATACACACATGGAGGTTAGGAATCCATGTGGTGGAGTGGCAGTGCAAGATGGCGGCCTGATGCCCAAGACATGAAAAGTCAACCTCATAGAATCACAGAATCATAGAATTGTTTTGTTTGGAAAAGATCTTTATGATCATCAAGTCCAAGCACTAATTTAATGCTGCCAGGCCTATGAGTAAACCATGTCCCTAAGAACATTATCTACACATCTTTTTAATACCTCCAGGGATGGTGACCCCACCACCTCCCTGGGCAGCCTGTTTGAAGGCTTGATAACACTTTTGGTGAAGAAATTTTTCCAAATGTCCAACATAAATGTCCACTGGAGCAACTTGAGGTCGTTTCCTCTTGTTCTATCACTTGGTATTTGGAAGAACAGACTGACTCCCTCTTCTGCTGACCACGTGCCTGACATAAAATGATATCATTAACAGGCAGAACAGCAGCCAAAGTCCTTGCTCTGCTACCATATCACAGACCAGAGATCCAAAGTGCCAGACAGCCAGAGGGAGGAACAAGTCAATGCACTCACTCCTGCAAACGATATGAAGAAGGGAGAAAGCTGGCCAAGGAACCATGTCATT